GATTACAAGTGGAATCACAACAGAATCAAACAAACACTCAATTCTCCCTTGCGTGTCATTAGTGCTTTTACAGCCAGTCTCTTTCTAGAAGATTAGGTGTGTTGTAAATACGACCTCCTCCTCTTTTATTTTTTCGTCCGTATTTTATATTCAAAGTATTGAGGATAATTTGAATGTTAAATTAAAATGGAACGAGACTATAAACGAAAAATTGAATGCAATCGTGAAATATTATAAAAGCGTAGTGGATAATAATGTACAATTAGCGACATTAGGCAAGATGTTTATTCAGTTGAAAGATTATGACAATGCTGAAATTTATTTTAAATTATTACTCGACGAATTTTTATCAAACCATAAAGATATTCCAACGCTTTTGCGGTATTTAGCCACAGTATTTCATTAAAAAAAAAGATTATTTACAATCACAGCGTTATTCTGATCAAGCATTGAAGATACAGTTTGTTAGTAGGTCGAGGGATTTTACCGAGATTAGATTGAACATATATCGACTGTGTAATATATATTATTTAGCCGAACTTTATACCCACGCAATGAAGTATTGCGAACAAGCAATGGGTTATCTCAATGCAGCTTCAAATCATCTCAGATCGATATTTACTACTTGTCAGGTCTACTTTACAATGAAATGGGTGAGTCAGCATTAGCATTAACAATGTATACAAAAGCTTTAGATAGTGAATTAAGAGCTGAATTCTCATCCGAATTACCATCAATTTACGATAATATTGCATTAGCACTTTCATAAATGGGGCGTTTTCGTGAATCGCTGGAATATTTTGTTATAAGCTCTTGATGTCGTATCCTCGACGATAAATGATCCGTACCTTTCAATAATCAACTTTAATATGGGTTGTACATTAACATTTAACAATCAATTACCTTAATCAGGGTCTTTGAAAAAGCGTTTGAATCAGCCCAAGATAATGAGTATATTTCAAATATATGTAAATCTCTGGGAATAGTTTCTGCTGTTCAAGGTGTATTTGATAAAGCAGTATTTTACTTTGAAAAATATCTCGATATTAACTTAGCAACAAATCCATTAAATTATACTTATATAGAAGAGATTTATGAACGAAAAAGTACGGTGTACTATTGGAAATCAGAGGATGAATTAGCATTAGCTAACAAAGCAACTCAATTATTATCCACGACATATCCTAGCATGAAAAAACTTGAAGATACTGAAATTAACACTTGAAAATTAAAAAAAATTAAAATTGATCCCGAAGATTCCGAGCACAAATCGCTGGAAGAAGAGAACGACGCTGATAATGATGATAGATATGATGAGACCAACACTGACTTGTAGAGAAACGAAAATGGAATATGGTACATTTTTAATGTAATTAAATCTAATTTTGTGTGGACTAATTTCTTCTAATTCGTATAGATTCTCTCATCGGACGATGGTCATCGTTTAAGTATCAGTTCTTACTAAAATGCTTACGTGTTGATGTAGTACGAATGGCACGTAGTTGTTATGTATGACGATAGGGGAGCCGGACTGTTGCTCGCGGATATTTGCTCGCCAAAAGTTGGAAATTGACTTGATTACTTGTACTCAAACGCTATATCCCAAATTCGCCGATTATAAGAAGAAAATAGACAACAAAAAACAGAACCTTCATAACGACAGCAAACGTCCGATGCATTTTAACTGATCATAAATATCTGGATGTGGGTTTTCAACCAAATTTCGTAATCGTTTGTTGAGTGTTTCATGCTTTCGCCCTGGTGGCTGGCTCCCTGACATAGCGTTAATTATATGCGAATGTAAATTATTTTCTTCTCTGATTAATTTATCTAAAAATGCCCATAAAGTTGGATGGCTAGACTGAAAGGCACAGTTTATTTTCCGATGCCATTCTTCGACGTTGTTGTTGGTGCGGTGCATGTCATTCTTTACACGGGCCACCATATTCCAAAACTGAATAGGAAACGTTGGTTCTCGTCTAGTTCCTCCACGAATTCGACCGATATAATTATGTTCAATGTAATCAAGAATTTGTTGGTAGTCATCACCAAGATTGGAACATAACTTTTACCAGGTAACAGAATAAATGATACGGGTAATACATCCCCACGATAACTAGCATGAATTACGAATAATAGAAAAAAATTTCTGGTACAACTTTAAATGTTCCATCAACGAAGAAATCCTGCAAAACAAAACCATGCTCAGATAGTCAACAGTTACTTTTATGGGACTTATCGTTGCATTTTCCATTATATTCTGCTGCTCGTCGGTAAAAATTATTAATAAGCGATTTGAACCAGGACCAGTATCTTTACGAAAAAATATTGTATCACGTGTTGTTCGATGATATTTATTTGGAATAATTGGAAAGTTGATGTTTGTTGGTGTGGATACAGCGTTATCTTCTTGTCGCCAACGGCGGATGTTTCGTTTCAAATTTTCATTGCTTGGTAGCTGAATACGCACTTCATCCGGAACACCGATATTTGTTTGTGTTAAAATATTATGAGGATTTGTTTGATTCTGTTGTGATTCCACTTGTAATCGTTCATAGTACTGCCGAATTGATCCATAACGTGGATTTCCAGTGTGGTTTTCATGATTAATAGTCATAATGAATACATTGCTTAAATCTGTATGTAATCGTCCATGGCAGGCATATTTTCTCGCATGTTCGCACTTCCGCGTTCTTCGAGGTTTTAGAGAGAGTAATTGACATGATTCTTTTGGTAGTGAACTGTACTGGAACTGGTACCGCTTTTATAGGGATATAGCATTTATTATAACTCATCATTTTATGAGACTCATCAATATGGGATATAGTGTTTATTATAACTCATTATTTTATTAGAATTAAATTAATTTCCACAAATTTTAACTAATTTATTGTTACACATTTCTTTTTGGCGAGCAAGTGTCCACGCGAGCAGCTGTCCTAGACCCGACGATAGAATCTTTCTCTCAGTGCGGTGTTAGTTTGTCCTACATATTCGTCCTCGCACTTTTTACCTCTAATATACTAACACAAATCCTTTGAATCGCATTGGAATTGTTGTCCAATCTGGATCTTAATACCATATGGTAGTGATTGTGCGAGTATCTCCATTTAGTGAACAAAATCGGCAATATTTTCTCGAACAAACCCTAAAACCTCGACAAGCGGGATCTGAGGCGATTTCGGGAGACAATGCACTTAAAGGTCCCAAATGAGTCAGATGAACGAGATAGCGATGCAATTTTGAAGGGCACTTGAATGTAACTATGTAACGAGATCAATTGGCCTTTGCGTTCGAAAATTGTTAGAAAATAGGTGTAGTATGAGATAACTGTCTATTATATGTTAATAGTATCAGTTTTCTATTTTCCTTCCTTTCGTCTTCAGTAATTCTTCTTTGCAATTGCAACAAAAGTTCTATTCTCGCAAATTTATCTTTCTTTCGAGTTTTTGACAAGTTATTAGAAAGACAGTGTCCTCTCCATTGTAAACGATGTACAATATTGGCGTATTCGTGTCATTTTTTAATTTCATCATTACATATCCTTTTAAGTCTATGGATTAAGGTTGAAGATAGATTTTTAATAATATGTTTAGGATGACCTGTGTCAGCACGAATATATTGAAATGTATCTGTAGGTTTCTTGTACAATTTAATGAGAACTCCGAGTTGTACAAGATCCTTTTCAACTAGTACATCTAAATAATTTATTTTGCTCTCACCGACATTTTCTAATCTATATTTTAAATTCGCGTTGATCGAATTAAGTGCATGTGCTCATCTTGCCGGTTTTTCTACGTTACTTGAGCTGGAATACTCTTTCATTATATCTTTTATTTCAAAAAAATTCCATAACTACAAAACTCATTTATTTCAATATTTTCCATATGACTTTTAATCGGAGGCTCAAGTTCAACCAAAAGTCGAATATACAGTGATTTAGGATAGCAACTCTTATGGATGATTTGGTTCGACCAAACTGACTTTAGTCTAGAGTCATGCAAAATGGTTGCTTGTGTGAGTATCTGTCTATGCCCAAAGTAACGGAAAACGGGTTGTTGGATATCCCATGGACAAGCCAATCATAAAGAAGAAAAGTAGAAAAATATTATTTTAAGCACAAGAGAGAAAATTTTCGAAAGGATTACTTCAGTTGCTTACTGATTGACAGACAATCAGCTTAAGAAAATGTTTTTCTGTCAAGTGGCAGATGTCTCTAGAAATCAGTCGACTTTCAGTAACACAAAAAGTCGTCTGTGTATGATGAAACTTACAGAAGTATAGTGCTTGCGAAAAGGAGTGGCACTTTCCCGTTCCTTTCATTCGTTCGTTCTTCACTATCCATTATGAGAAAGCTCGAAAAGTCGCCTTTTTTCTCGTCAGATTCTTTTATTCCGGATTCTTCATGATTTAAAGCTGTTTTAGAACATGTTTCCCGAGTTATCTAGGTTTTGTAACTATAGCCCTCTGCTGTTACTTGGTTACAGAATAGAAATCCTATCAAATGGCAATTCTAGAGCATAAAAGCAAGAAGAAAGAAAATATAGTTGAACTATATCATATGTACCGCTTTCAGTCGTCTGCTCTTTTCACCTTAAAAAAAAGCGAGTTTTCGAGACAAGCAATCTATAGAAAAGAACAAACTTTCTATTTTAATCTATATATTCATTTATCCGATGTCCAAAAGAAACAGTGCTTATCCGATATTCTGCCAAATTCTCAGATTAAAATTAAATTACTTAGAGAGGGTCCATCTCCACTTCTTATACTAGTTTGAAGTACAGAAGTTGTACTATATTTTGATCTATTTTCTAGAAAAAGACCCTTTTTAGTTTTTGAGATATGTGGCTCTCAATATCGATGATTAGCAACTAGGAAAACGCTTTTTGACTGCCGTGACTTTCCGGTTTTCTCTTCGGATCATGATAGTCAGAGATAATGTGTGTTCAAATGGGTAAAAAGCGCGATAATGTCAGAATCATTTTAGGGTCAGTCGGAAATACCCAAGTTGTACTATGAGCTATATTTTAGAAAAAAGATACATTTTGCTTTCTTTGAAAACGGGCTGTCAATATCCTAGCTAAGCAAAAGGAAAATATATACCTTTTATTCCCATCGTTGATAGATGTATGAGGATTTATATGTGTAAGATTGTCGAATGCAAATCTCGTACAAATTTTATTTCGGCAGAGTACAACTATACAAAATTGTTGATAAGCTCTTAATCAGTTTCGTATAAGCCTGTCAAAATCTATCAGCTAGGGATCGAAGACTAACTGAGCGTTTCAGAATATATTCCGATCGGTCGTTACTCCGATCCTTAGGTCGGTATAGGTACGATATGATATAATTTAGCACTGTTTTAGACGTAACTGTCTTGTTTTCAACTGTCACATTTTCAAACGTGTTTTTCTATTGCCGTTTCAACAAACAAAATATACCGTATATTTCTCTTTTGTTTGTTGAAACGGCAATAGAAATATAAAACAAAAGAAATACGAAAGAAAAACAGAAAGCAAAAGAAAAACATAAAATAAAAGAAAGCTATAAAAGAAAAGAAAAACAAAAGGCAATAGAAAAACATGTTTTCCTTTTGACTCATAGTTTACATATATGTAGCATCATTCTCCAACGCCGTTGAGGAGCAAAAACCAACACCATCTTCTTTTGAACAATTCAGAAAGTCACACCATACTACCACCTCATTGCACACGAAGCGTTTCACGGAAATGTCAAAGGACGACGCTGCTTCAGCCTACGTACCTCCACAGCTTCTCGACTTAACGATCGACAACATTACAGCGAATACAAAACTCGTAAATGGTCCATCGGCCGACCCTCGGTTGAAGTTCTTAATAGAAAAATTGGTTGATCACCTTCATGATTATGTACGGGAAACTCAAATTACCAATGAAGAATGGATGGTTGGGCTTCATTGTCTAACCAGATGCGGGCAAATGTGCACTGATATCCGTCAAGAGTTTATTCTTTTAAGTGATGTTCTCGGACTGACTGTTCTTGTTGATGCATTGAGCAATCCTAAACCGCCTGCCGCTACAGAGTCAACCGTCTTGGGACCATTCCACACAAATGATGCGCCAGATGTGGCCAATGGTGACAGCATTGCCTCACCTGGTAAGGGGGAAAGGTGTCTTGTAATTGCTACCGTGAATGACACTGATGAGAAACCAATTGAAGGAGCCAAGATCGATGTCTGGGAGACTGATGGCCACGGCCATTATGACATCGAGTACGATGAGCGACACAGACCAGATATGCGTGGTATTCTTACATCGAACAAGCATGGGGAGTTCTACTTCAAGTGTGTCAGGCCTGTATCGTATTCTGTTCCTACTGATGGTCCCGTTGGACAATTACTAAAGAAACTCGATCGACATTCTATTCGGCCAGCACACATACACTTCCGTATTAATGTTCCCGGAGACAAATACAGTGAACTCGTTACAACATTGTTCTTACGCGGGGATCCACACCTGACGACCGATGCCGCATTCGGTGTCAAGCGTAGTCTCATTGTCAATGTAGGAAGAATAGAAGATGCATCGATCGCTAAGAAATATGATGTTGACGAGCAGGATTGGCTGATCCGATGGGACTTTGTGATGACTACACATGACGAGGTCAATGCATTAAAGAAGAGTTTGGAAAGAAAGAACAACACTTTGTGAGTCATTTTAAAACGAATTGCATAATTTCGATTCCTTCGATTGTATTGTTGATACATACATCGGCATACATATACTTCCAATGTATTGGTTTTTTTAACAGATATCTTTATAAGAGCAGACGTTTTTCTGTTTAAAGAATAAAATCAGAAAGTAACAAGTTTTATGCTTTCATAAAATATTCATCTTTTATATGTTCATGAAGAAGAGTACTCACTGTAAACTTATTTCGTATCAACTTCGCGAACTAAATCTACACTAATTAGAGATGACCCGTTTCCATCGTTATATATTAGGTTAAAGTGCACGAGTTGTCCTGATCTATTTTTTAGAACACGATGCCTTTTAGTTTTAACGATATATGGCGGTGAATATCGTTGATTATTGTCTAAAAAAACAAGTTTTCGAAACAAGCAAAAGAAGTCTCTGGAAGTCGAGCAAGGGACTAACTTAAAATTAGCACAAAAGATAGAAATGGGTCTTCCCTAATCGGTGTAGATTTGGCCGCGAAGTTGGTGGAATACGAAATAAGTTTCCAGTGAGCCTCACTGTAGTGTAAATATTGACTAGAATTATCCGTCTCTGATTTTTATGCCAGTTTCAAGCATCCAAGTTGTACTCTGTGCCGAGCTATATTTTAGAAAAGATACTTTTATGTGCGAAATAAGGGAATATGAGCAACTCAATCAACAGATGGAGTACACAACATGGATATACGACGATTCTTCTGTTAAACTCAATATAAGACAAGATATACTATTTTCGTCGAATATTCAGTTTAGTCAGTATGCACATACGTCCAAATTCTCCTTGTTGGAATATGGTACAAGATATTCTGAAACAAATAGGAAATAATTAGTCTTCTACCTAACTGATACATTTTGACGGGCTTGTACGAAACTGATTACGAGCTTATCAACAACCTTGTGTACTTGTACTCTACCGGAATAAAATTCGCTTCTTTTTCCTTATTTGACACATAAAATTTCTCTGAGAAAGTATCTTTTTCTGAAACGTTCATGTGTCAATTTTTCTCGGATTGCAGTGAATAGTAGCGCTAAGTCGAGACTTAAAGAAAAATGATAATTTCCACATTAAGACTTTTGCAAGAATCTGGTAAGAGTTTTTCCTGATAAGGATAAGATGAATTTCTATTTTACAATTATATTCTTCATGATCTAGTATAACCACTTCTCGACTCCAGTCACTTCTATGTATATTAATCTTTAGGTCAAGTATTAGGTCCAAGTATACTAATGAATAATCAAACTGCAACAGAAAAAATTCGTATAGAAGGCATACCAGTAAGACGAATTGTTTAAAGTATACTTCTAATTTAAGTAAACTTTTAAGGAGTATAATCAATCAAATACAATGTTTTTTGTTATTTTTGAAAAATAATTCATAATTAGCAAATAATAAAATAATAGGCTTAATATTGAAAGTCTATTCACTAACATTCCTGTAACGGAGGCTATTAACGTCATCTGTGAAAAATGACAATACAGAATCAAAACTAATCGGTGCAATGATGCTCCAGAATATAAGTCTAAATCAACTTTATCCAAGGAGATTCAAGAAACAGATCATTCAATCAATTTCAACAAAGTGAAAGTTTTACGGCACCATCGGCGATCTTATCAACTTATAGTTTAGGAATATTTGACCATATGTTACATAGAACGGGTGTAACGCTGCTATAAACACTTAGGTAAGCTTAAAGTTGAAAAATATTCAAAACTGACGTTCGCTCATTATTTCGGTGACATCTGACGTATATATTTTCAATTTGAGAGTAGGCATGCAACAGTACCAGTACTGTCAATACCAGTACTCAGAGTATTGATCGGTACTGGACGACCGTATCGGTTCGACAACAGTTATAAAAAATGTCTTCCTCTCGTGCGCGGTTAGACTTCTCATACTACGATAAAAAATAAACCAGAACTGAACAAAAACATCTTTTTTTCTTGTTCTTTTATTCGTTCGGTTGTTCCTGTCCCTTTCGTAACACATGTTTCTCTTGCATAACACAGGGGGAAAAAAAACCGTCTGCATAAAATTGCTTGTTCTTATTTCCTATGAACGATACTGAAGCACTGGTAACAATCATTTCTTGAAATTATCATCATGTTACGAGTATAATACCGGTACCGATCGATACTAGTACTTTGATAGCGTACTGATACAGATGCATGCCTAGTTGAGCAAAAAGTTACAGAAATGTAATCTCGAGAACTGTGCGTGTACCAAGGACCAGTTCAAGTTTCCAAGTTTTGAGTTTTTCTGTAATCAAAAAAGCGATTGTAAAACAAAATATCTTAGTACAAACAAATCGAGTTTAAAATATCGAAATAAAAACGGTTTTAACTAACATAAATATTCGACATACTAATATTTTTAGCAATCCTTATTTCCTTGACTGAAAGTCTACGGTCGTAGGAATGAAATGTCCGTCTGTCCACAGTACACGAATCCATACTATCGTAGTCCCACCTATTATGCAGATTATGTCCAGTCATTTCGGAATGGAATAACAGGAACAACTAACTAACTGCTTTTCGATAGTTTTGGTTTCGAATACTATAGGTAAAAAAAACTTAATTCCAAACGTGATGTGAATGATCGATTTATGGTGCCATCTATACTCTGAAGCAGTTTTAAGTGACGCTGTTTATACCATTATCTAATTACATATAGACCTACAACTGATATGAATGTCATTTACATCAGTAATATTAACAATCACTGTCTGTCTGAGCGCAGAAACAAATACTTCAGGTATATGAACAAGTAAGAGCGCCCAGTCAGTCATAGTCATTCCAGAAAAGTGCAGGAAACTCTGTTTACGAAAAATTTTACGCGTTTAGCGAGTTTCGAATAATAACGCGCAAGAAGCTGCGAGTGTGTAAAAATAAAACGCAGGAACACGTGTGTAAAGTCTTTGTTTCACGGCAACGTGCGTTTCCTGCGGTTTATTTTAACACACTCGCAGCTTCTTGCGCGTTATTATTCGAAACTCGCTAAACGCGTAAAATTTTTCGTAAACAGAGTTTCCTGCACTTTTCTGGAATGACTATGACTGACTGGGTGTTATCAAATACAACTGTGCTTGTAAAGAATCAAATCATTCATTAGGTGGATACATTGATATAAACTATAAATTAAACAAATAAAGATCTTGAATGGCTTTCGTTTATGAATTTATTTGAAGTAAATCGCACGTGCATTAATTAAACACGGTTTAGGCCGCAGTGTATGCGCAGGAACATATCCGTTTTTTATCACATAATCTTGAACAGTATCTTTATAGTAACATTAGAAATGATATAAAAGTGCCACTTTTCAAGGTTCTTTTTACCATGATACGAAAATGGAAGGAACTTACGGCAAAATCACCGTTGTTATGTGTGAAAACAGAAAGTTTTAGATTCAGAAAAGAGCTAAGAATCACGTTAAAAGACGACCATTTCAAAAAAACCATCGACAGCTAGTTGTCGCACAGACGCTCTCTTTTGTCGTGTAAGAGTAGACTTTCCACAGTTAAACTTTTATCTCTTCCAAAAAAAAATGTGCTACACCTCCCTACTGTTTCCACTATTTATTTCTGTCGCAAGCAGTGTCTTTTACAGAAGACTATAATCATTTTCGATTTGATTACTCTAATTATACTCCTCATAGAAGCATCCTGATCATTAGCAATGCAAATGCTACCGCATCTTTTAGGTAGAGAAGAATGTAATATTCATTGGCGCTATATTTTCTTATAATAATAATGAACAGTGGCATTATAAAACCTTTATGTCTGATAATTATTATCCACAATATTTTAAAATTTTTCTTATTTTAGTTTTATTAAAAAATTTAAATGGATGTAATGGTTTTTCTGTTCTAGTAATGACAATTGTCGATATCAAACGTAATAACATGGCACACTTGCATTAATCAAATGTAAAACAACTATCATATATCTGTATGTATGACGGATGATCAAATATACACATATAAAACTGATTTTAGTGAATCAATTATTAATTTTCGATAAATAAATCTGTGGAAATATAAGAAAAATAAACGGATAAATAATACTGTCAATTGAATAAATGAATGTTAGCGTTTATTATCATAAATATTAATATATGTACACATGATTAATAAACGTTCAATAGCCAAAAATGAACGTATTCACACGCTTACGTAGAAAATATTGCGGGTAAAATGATTAAATATTTGCATAAATATAAATTTTTATTATCGTATAACATGTATGGAAGAACAAATGTACTGAATGACATTGTTAATAAACTGGATATTGAATAATTGTAGAGATTTGGATTTTTTCCTACATCATCCAAATTACGAGCGCTCAGAACATCTTGTGGTGTGGCTAACAACTTTTTATTAAACATTCCAGTTGCGCTGGCACTCATAGCTAATTCATCATGTAATACTTGACGCTCATCCCGACGTATTGGTCTAGCGTGAAATGCAGTTCCTGTGTGTATAATGGCTCCTGTGCAATCCATAATCATTTCTCCATTTTCTTTTACATGAACAACAAACTTAAAAGGACACATTTTGAAAGAACAAAAGCCACCGCTTGTTAATAATACGTTTCCTCGATTACGAATAACTGATTCAGAAAATCTGTTGTTTTTGAATCGAATAGAACAGTACTTATTGATTTGTTTAATATTCTTAGCCATTACTTTGGCCACCTTGAAGTCACGCTTGGTAAATTTCAATCAGATGATTTGAGGGTGATGATTAGCATATGTAAATTGTTGTTGATAACTCTGACTGAAATATAAAAATGAGGTGATTTTATGATTAATTTCATAAATTTTAAAGACAACTTCATTCATTATGTGTTTTCCCTTAATCGAAATGATGAACTGATTAATTGAAAATTTATTTGATAACAATTAGAAGTCATCCTTGGATTAAAATGAAAAACATAATGAAACTCGCTCTTATTAAAGGATCATTTTTTTATCAAATCCGGTTTATATTAGAAGTCTTAGGTAATCTCGGTGGCAATAGACAAACGAAGGTATGCACTTCACTACTTATCCGAAAAAATTGAATCATATTTTTGGAACAAAAATGTAATCCTAAAAGAATGTCTCAGGTCAAAAAATTAGATCAAGATCTTACACGATCTTATAAAATCTTACAGAAAATAATAGAAACATCAAGAAACAGTTTCTATGTTTTTCACAGAATCTTACGAAATCAGACAGAATCGTACAAAAATCTTATAAAATCTTCTTTTGCAGTTTTCGCCGTCAAAGTTTTTTTCAAAAATTTTTTTCGAACTATTCGGCTGAGATTTTGGATAAAAATTGAAAGGTGTCCAAAAAGCTTCAAAGGCACATTAGTCAATTCAGTTTTTGATGTTGATGCCAAATATGAGATTGGTTTTGCAAAAAAAATGAAAGTTTGACAGCGAAAACTGCAAAATACGAGTACAAAATACAAAAGAATTGTGTAGTGTTTTAAGAAACAAAAAATTTACATCTCTTTATTTTCTGGTGCTAAATTTACACAGCAAAGATTAAAGTTTACCTATTGATTCCTGACGGATACGATAAGTTGGTGCCATAACCCGGGATTTGTCGTCATTATTTAATCAAATTCAGGAAATGCCGCCGAAGAAGAAAACGCCTAATTTGCTCCAAATCTGTACAAAACGAAGGTTCATCAGAGGAAAAGTGGAAGAAACACATCGAACATTAAAAGAAGAAAAAGCGAAAGAAGAGATCGACGTGGACGTTTTACGTGTCCTCCGAGGAAAGTTCGAACAATACCAAAATTTACTAACCGAATACGACGGGATCATTCAAAAAACAACAAATGATGAGGATGAATTGAGACATGAATTCACCGAATCATTACAAATCGCCAACGATCTACAAACTGGGCGATTCTTT